AAAAAAACAAAAAACGTATCATAACAAAACAATAAACAATCATGTGATCTCGTGTTATGATACGGGATTTTTGTAAAATTATCTTCTAAAAATATTAAGTTTAAAAATTCCGTATACATTCCGCATGTTTAATTTTTTCCGTATACATTTCGTATACATTAGTTTTTTTAAAAAATGTTCAAAAATGAATTGCTTATTAAATATACGGAATTTGTATACGGAATCTATAGAAACGTACAAAAAATGTATACAAAACGTATCCTTTCCGTATACATATTTCTTATAGGGTATATATTGTGTTCAAAAATAGCTTAGTACATAACATAAATTTCATAACAGGTTTTTGGTTGACATGAATTTTTTTTTTACTTTTGCATTTCGTAATTTTTCAATTTCCGTGTAAATTATTTGTTAAAAATAACGAAATTACAGTTTAAAAGAGTAAGAACCGAAATTTTAAATTATAAGATATTTTATCTCATAAATCATAGAATTAATTTAAAAAAGGAATATTGAAAATAAAGTTGAAAACAAATTGTTATTTTTTTTTTTTTACGTCGTCTAAGAATTAAATAAAAAAAAAAATTATACGGACCGCTTCAATAATTTTTTAAGACATCTTAAAGTTAAAAAGATTGAAACAGAAACTTGTACTCTATTATCACAAACAATATTACCACTATAGTATAAATTATTAATTAACTATTTTGATATCCTTTATTATTTTTTCTTATTTATAATACAGAATACTTTCTCTGATCACGCTCGACGAGCACTAATTATCACGTGAGCAAATTCCGATTATTGGAAAAAAATTGTTTTGCAAACGAAAGAAATTGAAGTGTGGGAACAGCAAAGAAATTAAAAATTTAATTATTTTGACAAGGATTAGCTTCCCCTCCTTAACTTACGCATCATGTGTACGATATTAACGTATGCACTGGCCGGTAACGCTATCATGTGCAGAGTGCATAACTCCTAAATTCTGGTAGCATGTACGAAACTACGAATTAATTCAGCATTAATAGGAAAATTATTAATTATAAGATGATCGACAACCGCCTAAACCACAAAGAATTAGCGGACATCCAAACGTTTACTAAACGCCATATAACTTATTGCCAAATGGCTTAATTTTAATACACATGGACCCTCCACTAGTCAAATATGTTGCCTGGAAAATTAAACTTCCACTAATACTTTACCTACTTTAATCGTAACTTCCCAGATATTATTCGGAATATAACCGACTGCCTTTTGTGCAATAGAAACTAATCAACATATTTGGCTTTGCCCGACACTTTTACCTCATACTTAGTAGCTAAGTCTTTTAAAAAAACTTGTTGTCACCTGATCACCAACATTGAGGTGCAGAAACATTGATCAGAAGGAAAGGGAAGAAAAAGCGAGATTGGGGAAAGGAAAAGGGAAAGGAAGGAAGAGAAAAGGAAAGAGGGAAAGTGAGAGAGGGGAAAGTGGAAAGAGAGAGGGAATAAGAGAAAGGGAAAGGAAAGGGGAAAGGGAAGGAAGAGAAGAAAAGAGGGCAAGCGAGAGAAGGAAAGGTAAAAAAGCGAAGGAGTACACAAACATACACATACCACTCACCCATACAAAACTCACACTAGTTCAAAATACGCAAACCCCTTTTATATATATTTCTGGGTCCTCTCACGCTCATACCTAAAAGAAGATGTAAAAAAAGAGAACCGAAGAGAAGGAGATGGCCTATCGGGAGAAGATATTCTTGGTTTATTAGTTTCATCTGGTGAGTTAATTATCGAAGAATTATTCAACTATGTTCAAGATTATTTAATCGAAAATAAAAGAAGACCTAAAGAAAAGTGAAGAGAAGAAAAAACGGAAAGAAGACATACAGGTTTCCACGTTCAGGAGACTTGAAAACTCGTTAACGTTAATATAAAAAAAATTGAACCAATTTTTTTTTACTTGCCGGTATCCCACGTCGAAAAAAAGAGTCTAAAATTGAAAAAATTATTACCGCCTAAAAAAAGAAAACAAAACGAACCTAAGGTGTTTATATTATTTATGTTATATATTATATATATCATAAATGAGTAATTATTTGCATCATATGAACTGATATGAGTAATATATTTACTTTGACGAGCAATTTATGTCGAGAATCCTTTTTTATCGCGTCCTGACGCTACCGTCTTTAACTTTCATTTGCCAATCAATGAATGTCTATCAGGTAGGCCCAAATCATTTGCCTTCGTAGAGTCAGCGAGCCACGAATAACTCGAACTCCCTATAAAAAATTTTACATTTACGGAAATAAATTGGAAACTTTTACTCAAAAAAATCGAAACCTTATTTATTACGTTTTAATACTTGAGTGTTAAATGTTAGGATTTATGTTAGTTACTTGGCACACGTGACCTGGTAACTGCGGCACTTATCATTCACCAAAAATTAATTGAAATCATTAAATTAATCGAAGAATATTACGACCGAATTAAGGTGTCTCCGAATCTCTACCTTTCGCTTCACTTGTGCGAATGTTCTTATGACTATGGCCCTTTTTATGCATTCTGGTGTTTTTCATTCGAACGCATGAATGGCACTTTAGGTAAGTCGAAAATTTGTTTTTTGGATTAATTTAAAGTTACTTTTTTAATAATTTGAAATGTCACATTACTCAGTACTAACTACCGAGTAACAATTAAGCATTTTTATTTACTGTAAATACAACTACAATAAGGCTTCACCAATTCAAAAGTATGCTAACCTTACGTCGGAAAGAAATTTGGGGGGACAAATAATCAATAGTAAAATTGAAAAATTTTCGGAAAAAAAGCAAGATTGTCATTGTCATGTGGTCATGTTAAATTAAATTGGAAAGTCTTAAACAGTTACGTTTGACTACAGAAAATTAACATGAATGATAACTAAAATTCCCAAATATATGTGAGAAATTCTAGTAGAAATTCTTCTGTCGCACAGACCTCTCGTGTGATCCTCTTATTTTGTCCGTATAAATAACTTGAATTGTTAACATGAAAAATCTGTGCCTGATCTATTCCATGTTTATTATAGTTTACGTGTACGTTTTAATGGCCAATCCGTGAAGACTTTCGTGGCTAATTCAATTCCGGTTTGTTATAAATATTACAGTCTAACCTCGATATACCGATATTCGATATACCGATATACTATTAAAAACTTGATATACCGATAAAATTTTATTTTCCCACTATATGTGAGGACATATAAATATCGGTATAACTTTGATATAACGATATTTTCTAAAAATTTCATATATGTCCCGACATATCGTTATATAAAGGTTTGACTGTAATAAGTTTTCCCGTCTTCTTGGATGATGCGATCAGCCGCAGTAGATTGTGTTGCCGGTTACTTTTTTGTTTAACGGTCTTTTTATTTTTCAAAACCGAAAATTTTATTTTAATTATTATTTTTTTTTATTATTATTTTTCGTCTTCTTTTCAAACCCAAAAATAAAAAATTTTTTTAATTAGTTTTTTATTAGTTTTCTGACTTTTCTATATATAATTTTTATTTTATGTATTGGATATGAATCTTACGCTATAGCGTAAGCTATATAGTATAAAAAGTTTACCCTACTATTGATTTGATAATATGTACGAGTTATACTACAATGAAAACGTTCAATATAAGAAAGATTTTTAATGTATGCACTGGCACATAATATAAGAACGATAAAAAAAAAAGTTATTTTTATCATTTTTATTATATAATCCAATATTTTTTTCATATCAATTAATTAGGACAAATTTAATTGTAAAATAAAAAAAAATTATTTCTTACTCATATTTCTTGCTTATTTATATAGCATTATTTATTACGTAATTTAAATCATATATTTGTACATTGATTAAAAGACATTAATCTGGTGCGAAGCGATGGTCACTTCTAGTATTTATTTATATAAATTTAATTAATATTACAAATAAAAATTCTCATGAAAAAAATTAAATAAAAATATTATGCGCAATTCCTCTTAAATCATCTAAAAGAAAATAATCATTACGACTACAAAAAATGTTTAAAAGACGATTTTCACGTATAACGATGTGTTTTCGTTAGTATGTTCTTGCCTCTTCACGAAGAATGCTTTCTAAATCGATTACACGTGATTTTTCGCTACGTACGAAACTATATTTTATGGCTGATGGGCTGGATATCTAACGATATTTTAACACTAACAAACGTACAACGATATGGAGAGATTACCTGTCAATTTACTTAGAAATAACGTTTTGTATGATTAATACATAAAGTATTAGAATGATGGTTTAGTGGCAATACTATGAAAGATGGTCACAGATAAAATTGATTTCATTGTTACAAAAAAGTACATGGGGTAAAAAATTTTATGGAACGATATCTTATATAGATAGCCCCACTTAAGTAATATCCATAATTTTACGTACTTGTACTGTTTGTTATATAAGTTAACAAAATTCAATGTATAATTTTTACAGCCGATAAAATAGATATTATTTATTGATCCGAAAAATTAAAAGTTGGTAATTAATTCATAATAAAAAAAATAAAAATAAATAAAATAAAAAAAATAAAAAAAATAAAAAAAATAATCAACTTAAGATCAAGACTCTGATTTTCTAATCGAATCAATTTCTTCGATTTTGTTTTTAAATTTCTTTAATAATAATTCTAATTCATCTTTTTCATTTGTAGTTTCTTCATCAATAACAAACCCAACTGATAACTGGAGAAACAACCAATTCATTTGAATTTTCAAGAGATTTTTGTTGTGCACCTAAAAATCCTGCAACTAATTCTAATTTAAATCCAGTATCAGTTGTAAATGGTACTTTAACTCTTCCATCAGGAAAATCATCTGGTTTAAGTGAGTCATTTTCCAATTTTTTTCCATTTATTTTATATGGGTAAAAGGCTGTAGTCCATCCTGTAACAATAATGGGACCTGAACCAAAACTTTTTTTTGAAATTATTTTTGACCAAAATTCTTCATCAACATTGCCTTTATAAGTTTCAACTAATTTCCATATAACAGGATCCAATCTATCTAACCAAAAATCCATATCTAAGTCCAATTGACGTAATTGTACAACTTTCTCTTGCAATTTTGTCCAATCTTCTAAAGTACCTTTAAGAGTAATTTTAGGGATTCCACATGTGATGTAACCCTTATATGAAAAATATTCTTTAAGCATATCTAAAAGAACGATTTGACTAGCAGTAAGAGAACTTTTTGTTGTTGTAGAAAAATCACATTCTAAAAGAGATTTTACATCAATTTTTTCTACTGCTTCATTAGTTTTCACAACTAATCTGTCTATTGCTTTCGGCCAATCACCTTCAAGAAGAGAACCATTACTATTCAAAATACCAGTAATAGGAATAGCTATTTCTTTTTTACCTTCATGATTAACAAAACGATAACGAAATTTTTCTGCATTATAATTAATATGTTGACTAACACCTTGTGCTATAGTTAACCAAATATCATCAGGTGTTAGAAGCAAATGTTGATGATTACTATAAGCATAAAATATCGCAGCGGCTAATCTATGAGAAGTCACTGTATCCTTCAATACAGAATGTTCGTTTGAAGGAGTTTCATCATAATCAACTGAAATAGCATGTACATTTGTATTACGAAAATTTTGAGAAATATAATCTTTTATTGATATGTTCTTTAAAATCATTCTCAAGGTTAATTTTTTTAGTGAGGATTTGAGTACTCATCTTTGTATTTCTTTTGAAAAAGAAAAGCGTGTTAAAAAGTCAAATGAAGATGTAGATCTTAAGATTTTAATACAAAAAATCCAAACCTTTTTCGTTATTAAGAACGCCATTTTTCATTGTAAACCTGCATATTACGATTATTACGTCTATTACGACTATTACATGAACAATTACAATTACTTTAAGATAATACTTAGTTGTAATAATAAATAGTTCAGCCAGAATCATTTTAATTTTGGCTAGTTTAAGACATATTTTACTACTTTAAAATTGTATGACCTTTATCGTTATCGTACAAAATAATAATAAACACTTATTTCCATTGGAAAATAAATGATTATTTAGGATACTATATATGGAATGTCATAGATTATGAGGCGTAACACATGGCTCATTGGGATTAGGCTTAAAATTTATTAAAATTTATGCACAAATGCACATCACTGAGACTGGTTATGTACATAAATATACTAAGTTTTATATTTGTCCTACAAATACTCGCTAAGTATCAAAAAAAAATTTTTCAATTAATTATATAAAAGAAGTACAGGTTTTCCTAGGATTTGATGTTGGTATTTTTAAAGCTATCGTTTGATTTCAATTTTTTAATCGCATCCTCAAACTCTATTAAGCATAATGACTTCTTTCAATATTTTAAGGACGGATAAGATATACATTATTAAGTACAACAAGTTAATTTGGATAAAATAAAATTTTATAATTACAAAACGATACAAGTTATTGTACATGTTTATTGAAGCCAGTGAATTAAAAATATTAATAATTCATTAATAAAAAGATACTAACTTTATATTTCTTGAAATTAAAATAATGTCTAATATTATTAATTTTCCTCTTTACATCAATTGATAGTATATACGTCTTGTGCATTTTAAACAATTTATTATCCTAATCAAGGTAAACAATACTACCAAAATGCGTTTTTTGATGTTGGGAAGATTTTTTTCTTTTTATTGTTGATACAGGAGCGTTACTATACAATAAGTTTTTTCCTATACGGGTTTCATTCACTGATAATGCCCGAAATATCAGTCTTTCCTGCTATTATAATTATAGAATAAGATAGTAAACTATCTTCATTTTTTTTATATTTTTTCGTTTCTTCACTTTTTTTTGACTGTAAATGTTCTTTTTTTTCACTCAAACATTGTCTTTTTATATCAAAGACCTGTAAGGAGATTAACTTACTGTTTTACTAATAGGGTTTTATATCTCGCATGCAGTTATTGCAGTATTGCATTAAAGTAAAGGATTTCATATTAGCGGCCAATTTACTGGAATGTTATATAAATTTGAATTGTGGATCGAGTATAGGCAGTATTTAAAAGGAATATGATATTTACCTGACACTTAAACAGTATCTCCTTATTTGCTATCTTGTTATAGATCATCAGACTGTTCATCTAAATTAGTGTAAATTATAATCGAACCTTGCGTCTCTTAAACACCTATGTTTGAAAATTACGTAAAAAAGAATGTGAGAGATCACAGTATACAGTATGTTTATAAGATAATACAAGTATATTATTTTCATATAATTTATTGTATTGATTTTTTGGATTATAATTAGAAAAGTTGGTACATTTAAAGTTGATACTCACGTGAATGTTTAGATTAAAGATTAGGTGATGACGTCGGTCGAGTTATAACTTACCATCGTCTGATCACTTGACCAACCCGTTTGGCCCGTTTGACCAATAATAATTTCACTTTATAAATTAAAAAAGAAATTTGAATTTCATAAACTGTAATAAATTGTTATTTTCAGTAAAAATGTTGGTAATCCGAAATGACATTTTTTTTAATTTTTGTTATGTGATCGGTGTATCCAGTTCATAAATAGTTAATACCAAAATTGCCAACATTTCCGAAAAAGGTAATAAAAATAACTCTAGTGAAGATAACATATATATTGATTAGGATCGAATCGCTTATTATCACTTATTAGACTTTCATCTTATATTCGTTTTATACTTTTATGCTTGAATTTCTATTTCAGTCGTATTTTCACTTAGTTTCTTTTTTTGTCGATTTAATTCATTTGCATTTTTGTTCAGTTTTTCCATTAGTTTTTAGGATAATTTGCTAAAAAATATTTCAAGCGATTTAGTATAATTTTTCATTTTATAATTCGATAATTAAAATATTTTAAAACATTTTTGTATAAAAATAACAATATTACTTTTCGTTTATACATAAACTAATAATAAATTTATTCAATAAGTGATAATTTAACTTGACATTACATTTCGTATTGTATGAAATGAATAATCAACAGTTAACCAATTTATAATTTATTTTTATTAAACCAAAATATTACATACAAAACCATAAACGATAACTTGTATAAAAGAGATAATTTAATAATATAATTTTAATTAAACTAAATTCATTGATTCATATAAAAAAAAAATCATTCAGTCTTATTTTCTTCGTCTTGATTAATTTCATTAAGATATACAAAATAAGCAAAATCAATAAGTATTAGCAAAATAAAGAACTAAAAAATAAATTTCTTACCTAATTCGTCTAATTGACAATCAAAACATTCTGAATCTATAAATTAATTAACATAATATTAAAACAATATAAAAATTTATTAATTATATTGGTTACAAATAATTACTTACGTAATGTTGTTTCAGTAGCATCTATTAAAAAATAAAGTTATTAGTAATATAAACATTTTTTTTTTTTTGGTTATCAAAGTTAAATTAAATTACCTGAATTTACTGGATTTACTGGTTCTGGAAGATTTTTGAAACTTAAAAGTCTACTAGTATAAATTGCTTGCGGATGTGTTTGAATGTTACTAGATCTTTTTTCATCTGTTCTGTTTAATTTGATTTTATCATCATACTCATTTATTTGAGATTCAGTATCACTATCATCATATCCATTATAATTCCATTTATATAATATTTGATACAATTCTTTAGCAGTTGGTCTATTTTCTACTTTAGCATCCCAACATTTAGTAATCAAATCTGCAAGTAATTTTGGTGTATATTTAAAAATATTTGGTCTAAGTCCTTTACATATTTTAATAGCTAAAGAATAATCATGAGAAATATTATTATAAGGAGTTTCTTCGGATATATATTCATTTATAATTATTCCAAATGAATAAATATCAGATGCTTTTGTATATTGATATCCATGTAAAACTTCTGGTGCCATATAAGGTATTACTCCATAAACTCCTTCATTTTTATCTGATTTCTCTTTATTATTTGCTGGTTGACACATTCCTAAATCACTTATATACATACCACTACCTTCCAATATATTGCCTGAATGAAAATCTTTATGAACTTTTCCAGCATTATGAATATCTAAAAGCCCTCTTGCAATTTGATGTAATCTACCAATTTTTGAATAATAATTTAATTTATTATTCATATAGTAATTTCTCAAATTTCCATCTTCACAATATTTTAAAACCATCATATAATCTTTGCTATTTGGATCTTGAGTTATTCCATAACATCGAATAACATCCAAAAGATAAATCTGAAGATGAGTTTTAATCTAATGAAAATAATGAAAGTAAAAATTTTAATAATATATAAGTAATACACAAATAAAAATAAAAGTAAATAGATTACATTTCTTATTTTAATTTACCTCATTTAAAAATTCTGTACTTATACAAGAAGAATTGTCCAAACTTTTTAATGCAACTTTTAAACCAGTAGTCCTACCCCATTTTTGATTTTCAATATCCCAAGTATAAATACATCCATCAGGCCACTCTGCTGAATAAATTTTACCAAATCCACCTCTGGTAATATAAGTAATATCTTTAAAATTTTCATAAGGTATCCATTCAAGATATTTTTTATAGTACACAGTATTAAGTTGTGATTGTTGTATAAATTCATCAATATCTTTATTCTCACTAGTCCAATTTTTAAAGTTATCCTTAAATCTTTTAGCATTACAAGGTTGACACCAATTTTCTCCTGTGCCAGGTTCATTACATTCTCCACATATTCCATATACTTGTTTTCTTTTTTCTAAATCTTCCATATAAACTATTTTATCATCTATCTCTTCTGCTGATTCAGTAGTTGAACCAATAGTAGAAATTGTAACATGTTTCTTTTAAGATAAATGATTTAAAAAATATATTATTATTCAAATTAAAAATTCAATAATGTTATATTATTAAATGATAAAATGTATTGTTTTACCTGATATTTATCAGAATCAACATGTTTCCATAAATCTCTTTTATTTTCTTTAGGATTCATTTTTGATATTTCCATACTAAATTAATTCGTATTGTATATATGTAGATTACAATTTACTTAGTAAATTCAAAGATAACGTTAAAATGAAACGTAAAAAAAAAAAAATTTTATTTAAAAATTACGGAGTTCGGATAACAAATACTAAGCCCCTGTGCAGAATGTGTAACATTCAAAATTTTGAATACAAAAATTCTATATATAGTATTAACCTGATGATAAATTGTTACGCTATTGATCGGCATAAAAGAAAAAATGAAATTTTCAATAAGCAATCGGATTGAATGAAACCAAATAAAAATAATTTCAGCCTAATAAACTAGTTGTAACTTGTTGCGTTTGCAACAGGATTAATGTTGTAATGCCGTAATATACATAGTAAATTTATTAATTATGGGCGCAGTATTATATTTAAAATTAGTATATAAATTTTTAATAGTTTAAAATTGTATTTTAATTGGTCCGAAATGACGTTAAACTATTGTAACACCTGAGCCCATAGAGAATTATGTTTGCCACCTCAGGTATTAACAAAATGACTCTTTATTAATAATATAAATAAATACAATAATATGCTTGGTTTAATAACATTAAATAACAAAATAAATAATTCATAACAAAATTCGTCTAATTTTCTCCCT